TCTTTGGTCAGCTCGGGTTAGGACACGATAACAGAGTTATAGAACCGGTAGAAGTGATTGAATTAAAGCATCAAAATATACAACAATTTTTCAACGGACGCAACTTTGTATTGGCTGTCAATACAGAACAACAGGTATTTAGTTTTGGTTGCAATATATGTGGACAATTGGGACGGGATTTGAAAAGGGCTGGCTGTCATAAACCAGACGTAATTTCATATTTTATTTCAAATGATGATGATATTTCAGAAATATGTTGTGGTTATTGTCACACAATTGTGTTGACATCTAATGGACAGGTATTCGGTTGGGGTGGTAATGAGTATGGACAAATTGATTATAGCAAGGACAAATTAAGTGTGCTATTAAGTCCATTTGAAATAAAATTCCCGATTGAATACAAAATTACTAAAATTAAATGTTATGAAGATACATCATTTGCCATTACATCTGATGGTCAGGTGCTTGTGTGGGGCGAAAAAAGTGATTTTAATAAAATGAATACAATTCAATTAGAAAATACACATAATATTCAAAATATTTGTATAAATAATACATTTGTGTATTTGTTATCAAACGATGGATTCATATATTTATACGATTTTCGTAACAAACAAATCACAAAAATGAATGAAAATATTAAGTTCACTGAAATCATGCAATTATATTCAAATAAGAGACTAAAATCAATAATAACTGGATTATCATATAATAAAATATATGAATTTAAATATCCAAATACAATTGAAACAAAATATACATCGTTTGATGATTACTATACTTACGAATTACAGTTGACTATAAATGCAATTAAGTTTAATAATCATCAATATAATGAAAAATTATTGAATAAAAATAAAAATAATCAAGGTGTGTATTATGACTGTTCAAATGTTAATTGTTTTATTAAAACTATATTATAATAGAAATTAATTTAAAGAGTATTTATCAATCAAATTCGTTGTCGTTTACTAAATCATTTGAAATGATAAATAAGCTTGGTGAGGGTGCTTATGGACAGGTATACAAAGTTAAATACAGAGACTATTATGAAGAATATGCGGTAAAGATATGTAAATTAAACGGTAAGTTCCACATTATAAGTTTATTTACTATAATTAGATATTTTTAAAAACATTATTAATTAATCTAAAGGTTTATCAGAAAAAGAGAAACAAAATGTTTTGAATGAAACGCAAAATCTTGTGAAACTTCGGTCAGAATATGTGATTCAATACTACTATTCATGGATTGAATGCAATTGTCTTTACTTTCAAATGGAGTTATGTTTAGATAATCTCAGAAATCTGTTGGACAACAAAAAACCAAATAATGAATTGATGACTGGTTTTGATTATTATATTTCTTATGAAATATTTCGTGAACTCATAGAATGTGTGCAATATTTACATCAAAAGCATATCATTCATAGAGACCTTAAACCGGATAATGTGTTGATTTCAATGGACTATAGGATAAAGTTATGTGACTTTGGTTTGGCTAAAGAGGTCGTGAATATTGATTCGTATAATATGTCTAAAGCTAACCATACGGCAGATGTGGGAACTGTAGACTATATGGCACCGGAAGTCCAGATTGAGGATTACAATCATTTGATTGATATCTACAGTCTATCCCTAATCGGGGCTCAATTATTTGATTTCAATACATACGATATAATTGATGGAAAGTATGTTTATATTAGAGAAATATAATGACTTTATTTTAATAAAGTAAATAATTGTTATTGTTATAGAATTGATACAATTGGAAAATTTAATAATAAATCGAATGACTTTACTATTAAAATGAATGCATTATTGGTGTCAATGGCTATCAATAAGTATCGCAGAAACGGTTCAACAGATTGGAGACAAAGACCCGAATGTTCGCACATTTTATCGCAATTGCAGACAATTATCTCAAATAAACTTATTATTGGGGAAAATGAGTGGAAATTAACTGAAAATAATATAAATGACAATACTATTTGGAAAATATTTATGAGAAGTAAATCATTTTGTTTCATACGAAGCAATAATCAGGAAATAAATTTTGGTTTGTTTTATTTCAAGTAAAATTTTAGAGAAATCTATTTAAAAATTACTTGTCATTTAGACACTGGTGACATAAATGAGTCGATGTTTGAGGAGTGTTATTGGGATAATGAATTATTTAGGCATAAATCTTCCGGACATGTATTTAAATTATCCAAACTAAATATACCAGGTAAGAAAACATTTATGCATGCAATAATAACGCATATAATATTTATACTAGTATATAGTATTTATACAATGTTATATTTATATATCTATATAATTTATATACTGTATAGCTACTGTAAAAGACATGAATAAATTAATTGTTGGTATAAACAAGCGATTTGACACAAATTCCCATTTATCGGTTGAATATTACAACTTTTGGATTGAAAATAATAAATTAATCATTCAAAGTGAATATAATTCACTAACTTTACGGAATTTAATTAATAGAAAAAATGAGATTTTCAAAACCCAGACCTCTGTTGACATGATTTGCATTGATTTCTACATATCGTGTGAATTAATGCGAGAACTCTTAGAATGTCTTAATTATTATCAGAAAGTGTGGAAATTATTAGATACATGGAAAATAAAAAATAAATATATTTTAATGGACACTAATATTAAGTATGGCAGATGTATCAGGGTAGACACAGGCTACACACCAAAAACAACAAAATCTTGGCGTAATTGCTATTATAGTTATTACCGGAAAAGAATCGATGATATATTTAGCCCGGCTATGAAAAAGTAAGTATAATGTTATTTGTTAAATATAATTTATAACATAAATTGTAAAACTAACCGTACAATCGATAAATAAAACTGAATTCAATGGAATCATTAAAACAGTGTTTAATCATTCAAAATAAAACTTTATTAATATCTATTTTCATCATATAATATAAACATTTATTTAAAATTTTTTTAAAAATTATTTTAATATTTTGATTTGAATTCATTTTTATTTGTACGTTTAGTTATTTTTATGTATATTTATAATTTGTAATCATTTAGGCATAATATTCCGACTGACCAGGGTATACAAACTTATAACATAAAAGAGTATTTAAATGATGAGAACTATAAAAATAAAACTATGCCTTCAGTCGAGGATATGGTGAATGAGTTTAACGACATTTTCACACATAATATCCGTATAACCGATGAAATGATTTCCACATTTCAAACACACATCCAATCCATGGATTCACAAGAATTTGATTTCAATTTCTTCTATAAATACTTATTATTGAAAACCAATTCAACCGTAAATATGGATAAAACTGAACTGACACACAATCCGGTGTTAACTAATGCGTGCAATGAATGCGTTTCGGATAAAGCAATTCAAACTCAAAATATTGTGAGGCCTGCGGCCGTAACTTCATGTCCCCCAGTGTCTGTGGGCCACCCGATGAAAGCAGCGACACCTGGAGTTTCAAAAGCAATTCCATGGGTTGAGGACTTCTATGAGATATCATTCCTATTATTATCAACGCGTGACTCCCAGTGCCCGACCCCCTCAGCGCCCAATAGTTTTGCTCACATGAGTGACAACACAGTCGAAGATATAAGTTATATGATGAGTGACAGTGAGTGTGACCCGGATTACCCGTACGAAGCGGATGATGACGACATTCACGAAGATGTTAACGACGACATTGAAACTGATGGCAAACTAGAGTTGAATTGAAATCTCGAAACAATAGTATTGAGTGCAACGGCGCCAACAGACTGTCGGACCTAATAATAAGTTTAAACTATACCTTGGCTTTTGTCACCATCGTATAAATCTGTCATTGACTCATAATTTCAATTTAATTACAGAAATAGAAATGAGCATGCACATTGAAATTTTATATTTAAATTTATTTATATCTGATTATTAACACTTATTAATAAGTTATATTTAACATTTAATATTGAATAAATAATTTAGTTTAAATGTTATGTTTAATGATTATACACTCGAAAATCTAACCAATCTTTACGATATAGAAATTAAATACTTCAAACGGATAATCCAATCCTAATCCTCTCGTCACAGTTTTATAGACACTATTTTGAGGATTATAATAATTTTTATTGTATGACAATCTACTAAGGTAACATCGCAATTTATCTATTATGGTTTGTATAGTTTTATCGCATTTTATTATTGTTTTAAATGTTTGTTCAATAAAACAAGGCAAGTTTTATATTTAATAATGTAATAAAAGTCACATATATTGATAAATACTTATATTTTTATAAATCACAAAATATGCTAGGCAACTATCGTGTATTTTATTGTTACAAATGTTAACAGTATTATATATTATAAAGTATGTGTATTATATACATCTTAACGATATTTAAGTACAACGAAATTATAATATAATAAATATAGTATCTATTTGAAATATTACATTTTAAGTTTTAAATTATGTAAAAGTTATAAATATTAATTATGTGCATTATTGAAAGAAATTGTTTGCACAGTTATTAAAAAAGACTAACTATACATGTAGTGGAAAATATTAAATGTTGTGAATTATTAATTTAAATAATACAAATATTTGAATTATTTTATTAAAAGTCTTATGATTTAAAAAATTATCCGATTTGTGACAAAATACCTGATGATATAAAACAATGCATTAAATTATTTTATATTTTTGATGACTGTGAGGGATATAACATACTGTTTGTGACATTTGATGATTTGGTGTATGGATTGGGATCTAATTTCTTTGGTCAGCTCGGGTTAGGACACGATATTACAGTTGAAGAACCGAAAGAAGTGATTGAATGAAGGCATCAAAATATACAACAATTTTTCAATGGAGAGGACTTTGTATTGGCTGTCAATACAAAGCAACAGATATTCAGTTTTGGTTGCAATTATTGGAATCAATTGGGACGGGATGTGGATAGGGATGGCTATCATAAAGCGGACATTATTTCATATTTCGTTTCAAATTATTTAATTATTACTGAAATATGTTGTGGTTATTGGCACACAATTGTGTTGACATCCAATGGACGGCTATTCGGGTGGGGTTGGAATTATTATGGACAAATTGATTATAACAAGGACAAATTTGAAATAATATTCCCAATTGAATACAAAATTATTAAAATTAAATGTTATGAATGGACATCATTTGCCATTACATCTGATGGTCAGGTGCGTGTGTGGGAAAATACACGTGATTTTAATAATATGAATACAAATCAATTAGAAAATACATATAATATTAATAATACATTTGTGTATTTGCTATCAGGCGGTGGATTCATATATTTATATAATTTTCGTAACAAACAAATCACAAAAATGAATGAAAATATTAAGTTCACAGAAATCATGCAATTATATTCATATAATAAACAAAAATCAATAATAACTGGGTTATCATATAATAAAATATATGAATTTGAATATCCAAATATTATTGAAACAAAATATATATCATTTGATAATTACTATTCACATGAATTACATTTGACTGTAAATAAAATTATGATTAATAATTTGCAATATAATAAACAATTGCTAAATGAAAATAGAAATAATCAAGGTGTGTATTATGACTGTTTAAATGTTTTTAGTTTTAGTAATACTATATTTTAATAGAAATTAATTTAGAAATTAATTATAAATGTGTGGTATATATCAACTTCTGGATCTATTTGGACACCAATTCTGTGCGGAACAACTGTAGGCCTAATATCTGTTGATTTTGGCACACATTGAGGGCCAGTGTCTGGACGTGTCGTACGATTGACACCAAATGTATGTCCAATAGTTGCGTCCGAAAGCCAAACATCGTTAGGAAGTACAGGAGTTGTGGCGATAGGACTCGGATTGTCACGACTTTGCCATATATTCTGTACAAATATTCTCGCATTAAGTGTATGAATGCCTACAGAATCGGGAATTTATATCCACAAGGAAATAGTCGACAGAATTTAGTGGTGAATATTATTTGAAATAATTTTGAGTGAATTTAGAAAATAATTTTGTTTGAGATTTAATGAAATAATTTTGTGATAAAAATTTGAATTTATTTTTGTTTAGATTTTATTGATTAACAATTAAAATGAAATTAAGTTTCGTATTAAATAATTGCATAGATTACTATTTATACAGTAATTTGATTTTTAAAGTAATATCTAAAGATTTAATTTCGGCCCATTTATACCTGGCCATTACGGCCAACCCTATCAAATTAAGCTCCTAGGACATTTATATTATGTTTCTACTTGGTATTAACTATCACCATGCTAAGTTTAAAAGAAATCGGCGCGTTTCACTACAAATCAAGTGCTTGTGAGTTCGCATCTTACGACTACTCATATAAAATGACACTCTTTTCACAAATTAATTTCTACCCTTTAATATACACTAAATGTGATTATTTATGAAATTATAAACATTTTATATGAGTAGTCGTAAGATGCGAACTCAGTCACGATTTAGCTGTGAGACTGCTTTTGTTTTATTTTAATTCATATATCTATAAATCTAACTTTCATTGCAATGTATTCGATAAGGTAGCAGAAAATTTATTAATTAACATGTTGCATCATTTAAAAACTATATCTCAATTCATATATTATGTAAAGTTTTATTTCATAGTCTCTGATTTGTCTACATGTATTTTAAATTTTAATTTAATTGTTTAATGCCTATTTTTTAATATAGTAATTATCACATTCGGTTATGCTTAAATGAAAGCTTATACTTTCGGCTTTAATTTGTATATTTTCGATTTTACCCTGCAACTATGCTGTGACAAGTGACTATGACATTAGCGTTGGTCCAAAGTTTTATTGAAATGCTTAACTCAACAGCGTGGTTAAAATACCAAAAGAACACAATTAAATGAAAGTTTAAAATAGTTTTTACAAAATTCATTTATCGCTAGAAATATAGAAATACGAGCATAAATCCCGGAGTCCTTTTTACCTACATTTACGCCGTAAAAATGGGTTATCAAATCACTCAAACCACCCCACCTGGGATGTAAGATTTTGATAGTTTAAGAACTTGTAACTAAGCAAGCTAGATTTATAAAATAAAATGACAAACATTCACCAAAGTATGGCACTTACTAATTAATTTTTAATAATTTTTTATATCATAAAGTCAGAACATATATATGCACCAAAATGGCTTTTTAATGTGGAATCAATGGGAGTCCTCACTAAAGCACTAAAATTATAAAGTAAATCATTCCATATTTCCATTGACTCCATACTAATGCAACTAATTTTTGTACACAAAAACCAGACTTTCGTGCAGATTCTTCAAAATTATGACCAGGGTATAAAATTTAAAATTATATTGTGATACACATATAATTGAAATATATTATGAACATTTTGTTATAGTTTTTGATAATACAGTAATATTAATTTTATACCTTAAAATTTAATTAAAAATATTTGGTTGAAAATCTAATGCTTTATATTTAAACTAATATATTGTGTTTTGTGTTTAATAAAGTTTATTTTTAAAAGTGTTTATGAATGACTAAAAGTTATTAAAAATTATTAAAAGTTAATTTATTTATTAGAAAGTGCGACCAGAGTACCGGTTGGTATGCTGGACATCCAGGTTCCTAATCGACGTCCCAATGAGTGGATCCAGTAGTGGACACAATGAATACACTCAAAGATAACAAACTAACCATTTATTAACAAAGACTTAGAGATACAAGAAATGTGCACTAAATGTGCTGTGTACAGTGCAGTACAGTGCTGAATACAGACTAGTTGTATGTCATAGAGAAGTCATTTCTTTATTGAGGGATATCTCAGCTAACAGTCAGTATCTATGAGTACAGTACGACTGTAATGGAAAGTACCGTACGTGACCAGGGTATGACTGTAAGGTGTACGTGAGGTACAGGTGCTGATGAGTAGTTCAGACCATAGTCAAGGATAGGGATTATGCAATCATCTTTACTATTAATCAAATTCAATAAACTAATTTAACCCGGATAAAAATATTTATTCTCAAAATTAATAAATAAATATTATATTTTAATTAATGAAAGATTACTGAAAAACATTATAATTGCATAGTAATATTTGTATCATTATTATAAAATATGTTTGTCTACATTTTAAGTCAATTAATGTAGATTTAGTTTGTATAGTGATTATCATATTTTATAATTTTTACCCACATTTACGTAGTAAAAGAGTGGGTTATCAAATCACTCTGTACCACCTCCCTCCTTCCCCACTCCGTCATTAATGACGAAAATGCTGTCACGCCCATCGACTAATAATGGAAAATTATTATAACAATTGAAAAATAGTTAAAGGTTTTTCTATGTAAAAACCCAGCAAAAATGGGCAAATGTTTTTTCGGTGACAAAATGCCACACATGATTCAACCCAATCCCACACAAATATTTTGAAAATGTTAAAATTGCTTAAAAGTGTTAAATATCTGATTAAACATATGGATCTCTTTTCTTGCCCTCCCTTTTCAAGCCTTTTCCTTTCCTGCCATCCTCTATCATGCACACTCCTTTCAAACTCTCCCCTTTGCAAAATACAATTTTAATTATGATAGAGCATAATTTTATAGATTTTATTGATTAACGATAAATATCTATAATTTATGAAAATATAGTTTATTCTATATTAGCTTAACTGTAAATGTGGGTTTCTATAGCATTGCTTGCAAACCTTGTTTGAAATGTTTGTTCAATAAAACAAAGAAAACTTTATATTTCATAATCTCATTTAATGACAAATACTTATTTTTTCCTTTAATCACAAAATATGCTATGCAATTATCAAAAATTTTATTGTTACAAATGTGGACTTTGAAAGCATTTCGGAGACTTTGGTAAATCATAGAAAATATAGTCATGTAGTGAAAAGCTTTAAATTCAGAGCTTACGATTAATTAGTATGAATGAGTAAAGTGAGTTTTTATTAAAATGTGTATTAGTAAGCTCCGAATTTAAAGCTTTTCACTACATGACTATATTTTCTATGCTTTACAAAAGTCCCCGAAATGGTTTAAAAGTATACAAATGGTAAAAGTAATAGATACTAAAAAGTAATTAAGCTATTTAAGTACAACGCAATTATAATATAATAAAATATTGTCATAAAGTACCGTATGCGTTGAAATATTTGTAATTAACATTAATTATTGAAATGCTTTACATTTTAAGTTAATAATTGAGTAAAAGTTATAAATATTAATTATTTTATTTATTAAAGAAATTGTTTTTATCCAGTTATTATAAAAACTTCAATTATAATTGTGGTGGTTAATATTAAATGTTGTTAATTATTAATGTAAATAACAATACATTTTGTTATAATTACTTTATTAAAATGTCATATGATTTAAACAATTATCCGATTTGCGACAAAATACCTGAAGATATAAAACAAAGGATTAAATTATTTTATGTTTTCGATGACTACGAGGGATATAACATATTGTTTGTGACATTTGAGGATAGGGTGTATGGATTGGGATCTAATATCTGGGGTCAACTCGGGTTAGGACACAATAATAGTGTTGAACAACCGGTTGAAGTGATTGAATTAAGGCATCAAAACATACAATACTTTCTTAATGGATGGGCCTTTTTATTGGCTGTCAATACAGATCAACAAATATTCAGTTTTGGTGACAATTGTTGGGGACAATTGGGACGGGATGTGGATATGGATGGCTATCATAAACCAGAAATCATTTCATATTTCATTTCAAATGATTTAATTATTAATGAAATAAGTTGTGGATATAATCACATAATTATATTAACATCTAAAGGACAGGTATTCGGATGGGGCTGTAATATTAAAGGACAAATAGATTATAGCAAGGGCGAATTAATTTTATATCCATTTGAAATAAAATTCCCAATTGAATACAAAATTATTAAAATTAATTGTTATGAATGGACATCATTTGCCATTACATCTGATGGTCAGGTGCTTGTGTGGGGCGAAAAAAGTGACTTTTATAAATTGAATAAAATTCAATTAGAAAATTCATATAATATTCAAATTATTTGTATAAATAATACATTTGTGTATTTGTTATCAAACGATGGATTCATATATTCATACAATTTTCGTAACAAACAAATTACAAAAATGAATGAAAATATTAAGTTCACTGAAATCATGCAATTATATTCACGTAAGAAACAGAATTCAATAATAACTGGTTTATCATATAATAAAATATATGAATTTGAATATCCAAATATTATTGAAACAAAATATAAATCGTTTGATGATTACTATACACATGAATTACATTTGACTGTGAATACAATAATGTTTAATAATTTACAATATAATGAAAAGATATTGAATGAAAACAGAAATAATCTTGGTATGTATTATGACTTTAAATGTTTGTTTATAGGTTTATTAATACTATATTTTAATAGAAATTAATTTGGAGACTATTTATCAATCAAATGCGGTGTCGTTTACTAAATCATTTAAAGTGATAAATAAGCTTGGTGAGGGTGCTTATGGAAAGGTATACAAAGTTAAACATAAAGTTAGTTATGAAAAATATGCGGTAAAGATGTGTAAATTAAACGGTAAAGTTTTAGATTATAAGTTTATTAACTGTAATTACATATTTTTTAAACATTTTTAATTAATCTAAAGGTTTATCAGAAAAAGAGAAACAAAATGTTTTGAATGAAACACAAAGTCTTGTGAAACTTCGGTCAGAGTTTGTGATTCAATACTACTATTCATGGATTGAATGCAATTGTCTTTAAAAAAAGAGAAACAAAATGTTTTGAATGAAACACAAAGTCTTGTGAAACTTCGGTCAGAGTTTGTGATTCAGTACTACTATTCATGGATTGAATGCAATTGTCTTTACTTTCAAATGGAGTTATGTTTAGATAATCTCAAAAATCTGTTGGAAACTAAAAAACCAAATAATGAATTGATGACTGGTTTTAATTATTATATATCGTATGAAATATTTCGTGAACTCACAGAATGTGTGAAATATTTGCACGAAAATCATATCATTCACAGAGACCTCAAACCGGATAATGTGTTGATTTCAATGGATTATAGGATAAAGTTATGTGACTTTGGTTTGGCTAAAGAGGTCGTGAATATTGATTCATATAATATGTCTAAAGCCAAACATACGGCAGATGTCGGTGACCCAGGCATATATCAGGCACCTGAAGCTCTAACCAAGGATTATAACCATTTGATTGATATCTACAGTCTATCCCTAATCGGGGCTCAATTATTTGATTTCGATAAATACGATATAATTGATGGAAAGTATGTTATATTAGAGAATTATAGTATCAAATTTATTTTACTAAAGTTAATAATTTAAATTTTTTATAGAATTGATACAATTGGAAAATTTAATAATAATTTGAATGACTTTGTGATTAAAACAAATGCATTATTAGTGTCAATGGCTGTCAATCAATATTCACGAAACGGTTCAACAGATTGGAGACAACGACCCGAATGTTCGCACATTTTATCGCAATTGCAGACAATTATCACAAATAAACACATTATTGATGAAAATGAGTGGAAATTAATTGAATCTTATATTAAAGACGATTATATTTGGAGACTATTTATAAAATGTAAACCAATTTGTTTCATACGAAAGAATGATCAACTTATAAGTATTGGTTTGTTTTAGTTCAAGTACAATTTTAAGGAAGTCTATTTAAAACTTATTTGTCATTTAGACCCTGGTGAAATAAATGAGTCGATGTTTGTGAAGTGTAATCGATGTGATGAATCATTTAGACATAGATCTTCTGGACATGTATTTAAATTATCCAAAATAAATATACCAGGTAAGAAAACATTTATGCATGTAATATCTATACTAGTATACTGTATTTATACAATGTTATATTTATATATTTATATAATTTATATATATATTTAGCTACTGTTAAAGACATGAATAAATTACTTGTTTGTATAAACAAGGCATTTGACACTAAATCGCATTTATCGATCGAATATTACAACTGTTGGATTGAAAATAATAAAGTATTAATTCAAAGTGAATATATAAATAGTTCACTAACTCTGCAGGAGTTAATTACTAAAAAAAATGACATCTTCAAAACCCAGACCTCCGTTGACATGATTTGCATTGATTTCTACATATCCTGTGAATTAATGCGAGAACTCTTAGAATGTCTTAATTATTATCAGAAAGTGTGGAAATTATTAGATAAATGGAATATAAACAATCAATATATTCTGATTGATATTAATATAAAGCATGGTAATTGTATCAGGGTAGACACAGGCTGTACTCCAATAACAACAAAATCTCGGCGTTATTGTTATTATAGTTATTACCGGAAACGAAGTGGTGAAATATTTAGTCCAGTTATGAAAAAGTAAGTACAAATTTAATGGTTAAATATAATTTATATCATAAATTGTAAAACTAACAAACCGTATAATCGATAAATAAAAATTAATTCAATTGAATCGTTACAAAGCAGTGTTTAATCATTCAAACCTATAAAACTTCATTAATATCCTACTGTATTTTCATCATATAATATAACCATTTTTAAAAAATACAAATTATTAAACAATTCTTTAAATGTTTCGATTTAATTCAGTTTTATTTGTCGATGGTACGTTTAGTTGTTTTTATGTACATTTATAATTTGTAATCATTTAGGAATAATATTCCGACTGACCAGGGTATACAAACTTATAACATAAAAGAGTATTTAAATTGTAAGAAGTATACAAATAAAACTATACCATCGGTCGAGGATATGGTGAATAAGTTTAACGACATTTTCGCGCATAATATCCTAATAACCGATAAAATGATTTCCACATTTCAAACACACATTCAATCCATGGATTCACAAGATTTTCATTTCAATTTCTTCTGTAAATACTTATTAATGAAAACCAATTCAACAAACAATACAAACATTCCGGAGATATGTTTGAGTCAAAAGGCGCCGACAGTCAACCCAAACACACCTGAGACACCCGACAACGAGAGGCCGACTTATAATAGCGCCTCAACATCATTGTCGATGTCAAACACCCAGTCATCCGGTGTTGTCGATGTGGAGCCTGATGTTCAACAAAACTATGAAATACGGGGTCATTTAAAGTGTGATCCGAACCTTAATAACCAATTAGTTCAACAAAAACGTCTGAAAACTCAGAGACAATACGTAAAGAAACCAAAGTCTGAGTCAATACACAAAGTCCTTAAATAGGATTACAAACAAATTTTGCTATGTTTATAATTTCAGAGTTAATTAAACACATAAAATAATCAGTATACATTATAAGTTTCATTACCTTTAAATTACAATTGCTTTTAAGTATTTGAATTGTTTGTAACCATTTTAATATAATATATTTTTTGTTTCAGATTCTTTTAAAGTGTTTAAATTGTCCATAATAAATATATAAAGTAAATTAATTAATAAACCATCATTTGTATTTTTATCTTTATTTTACATAAATATTTGTTTTAAAGTATTACATAATTAAGTCTTATTAGTAAATTTTATATTAAATCTGTAATGTTTTGTACTATAAAAATATTTTGTCTATTACTAGATTCAATAAAAACACTTTTATATATTTCCTAATTGTCTAAATTATTGCTTACTTATTTTAGACTAATTTAATGATATTTTTACAACTATACTGTATTAATTATATAAGTGTTTATTATAAATGATTTTCATTCAGATTGTAATCAATTAGTTATATATTTTATTATTTTATTATTGTGTGAATGTAATTGTAATGTACAGTTGAAACATTGTCATTTATTTGAAAAATCAATTTCAAATAAAATTACCAGCATGAGTTTCTAATCTTTTAATGTATAAAATAATAATGCATTTCTGATTCATTGTTTATAATTATCACGTTTATCAAAAATTGTACTAAACTTTCAATTATATTTTGATTAACAAATACATTAATTAATTTAATATAAAAACTCTTCAATTAATGAACACATGAAGTGGTGAATGAAATTAAATGTAAAACTTTGCGATTAAATTAAACTCCGAAAAAATGTCTATAAAAACATCGATACAAATGACAAAACATCAGCAAAAGCGCCGACATTTAGTTGACCCGCACAGACACCTCGTGAGACCCGTCGTTTCATTAACAGCACCAACCGGTTAGGAGGTATACCCGTTGACCACCAAAATGCTGTCATCAGCCGTATAGCTAACATTATTCCTATGGAATCCGTTGCCATCGATGGACAGTACTTCCTGGTTGTCATAACACGTCAACCCTTCGTATGCCTTAACGTTTCGGATGTCGACGAACCCCATCCTCGGGACGGACTCCTTGTCGTCGATAACAGCCAAATGTGAGGACAGATTGGGTTCACACGAGTGGTTCACAAAGCGAGCGATGCTTTCGTAATAGTCGGCGCATATGATGAGTGTCTGTCCGAAGACCTCGGCGTTGATGTCGAAGAAGTAATTCGTGTATCGTTTGGTCGTCGCCATGGAGTCAATGGTTTCGCCCAAGTATTCAAACACACAAACGAGTCCTTACGTACGGCCGGGTGGCTCATTACATGCCAACCCTTGCACACAGTCTTGAATAGCGCTAAAATGAGTGGTATTTCTGCTCTTTTGTAGCATCCGGTTAGGACAGGCGGCTGAGCACTGGCACCGGTCGTTGCACTCGTGTATTACGTGCACCGACACTCCGGGCCCTTACAGTCAGTTAATGCGGATATAAATATTTATTCTCAAAATTAATTAATAATTATTATATTTTAATTAATAAAAGATTATTGAAAAGCATTATAATTGCATATATTTTTGAAATATTTTAAGTTATCAAGTTGTAAAAGTTATAAATATTAATTATTTGAATTATTGAAAATGTTTATATCCAGTTATTATAAAAACTTTAATTTTAATTGTGGTGGATAATATTAAATGTTTTGAATTATTAATGAAAATAATAGAAATATTATTTAAATTATTTAATTAAAATGTCTTATGATTTAAAAAATTATCCGATTTGTGACAAAATACCTGAAGATATAAAACAATGCATTAAATTATTTTATGTTTTCGATGACATCTTTGGATACAACATACTGTTTGTGACATTTGGTGATTTGGTGTATGGGTTGGGATCTAATAGTGAGGGTCAGCTCGGGTTAGGACACAATAATAGAGTTGAAGATCCGGTAGAAGTGATTGAATTAAAGCATCAAAATATACAACAATTTTTCATCGAATTAGACTTTGTATTGGCTGTCAATACGGATCAACAGATATTCAGTTTTGGTCGCAATAAATGGGGACATTTGGGACGGGATGTGGATAGGGATGGCTGTCATAAACCAGAAGTCATTTCATATTTCGTTTCAAATGATTTAATTACTACTGAAATATGTTGTGGTTATTATCACACAATTGTATTGACATCTAATGGACAGGTATTCGGATGAGGTTGTAATATTTTTGGACAAATTGATTATAACAAGGACAACTTGGATGTGATATTAAGTCCATTTGAAATAAAATTACCAATTGAATACATTACTAAAATTATATGTTATCAATTTAAATCATTTGCCATTACATCTGATGGTCAGGTGCTTATGTGGGGAAATACACGTGATTTTAATAATATGAATACAATTCAATTAGAAAATGCATATAATATTCAAAATATTTGTGTTAATAAAACATTTGTGTATTTGTTATCAACCGATGGATTCATATATTCATACGATTTTCGTAACAAAAAAATGACAAAAATGAATGAAAATATTAAGTTCACTGAAATCATGCAATTAGATTCATATAAAAAATACAAATCAATAATAACTGGATTATCATATAATAAAATATATGAATTTGAATATCCAAATACTATTGAAACAAAATATACATCATTTGATGATTACTATTCGTATGAATTACATTTGACTATAAATACAATTAAATTAAATAATCAACAAAATAATAAACAAATGTTAAATGAGAATAGATATAACCAAGGTGTGTATTATGACTGTTTAAATGTTTATAGTTTTATTAATACTATATTTAAATAGAAATTAATTTAGATAATATTTATCAATCAAATTCGTTGTCGTTTACAAAATCATTTGAATTGATAAATAAGCTTGGTGAGGGTGCGTATGGACAGGTATACAAAGTTAAACATAAAGACAATTATGAAGAATATGCGGTAAAGATATGTAAATTAAACGGTAAAGTTTTACATTATAAGTTTATTTACTGTAATTTGATATTTTTTAAAACATTTCTTAATAATATAAAGAATTATCAGAAAAAGAAACACAAAATGTTTTGAATGAAACGCAAAGTCTTGTGAAACTTCGGTCAGAATATGTGATTCAATACTACTATTCATGGATTGAATGCAATTGTCTTTACTTCCAAATGGAGTTATGTTTAGATAATCTCAAAAATCTGTTGGAAACTAAAAAACCAAATAATGAATTGATGACTGGTTTTAATTATTATATATCGTATGAAATATTTCGTGAACTCACAGAATGTGTGCAATTTTTGCACGAAAAGCATATCATTCACAGAGACCTCAAACCGGATAATGTGTTGATTTCAATGGATTAAAGTTATGTGACTTTGGTTTGGCTAAAGAGGTCGTGAATATTGATTCGTATAATATGTCTAAAGCTACACATACGGCAGATGTCGGTGACCCAGGCATATATCAGGCACCTGAAGCCCTGGGAACTGTAGACTATATGGCACCGGAAGTCCTGACTAAGGATTACAATCATTTGATTGATATCTACAGTCTATCCCTAATCGGGGCTCAATTATTTAATTTTGATACATACAATATAATTGACTGAAAGTATGTTTATATTTGAGAAATATAGGGACTATATTTTACCGTATTCCCGCGCAACCACCGGCATGCCGTTATAAGTGAGGCTGATCAGTTTTACAAAAATGGCTTTATGATACCCTACCGGCATGCCGTTATAAAGTGAGGCACATATTTATGAAATGTCATGCATAAGGTTTAAATAAAGTGATACTAGTACTAATTTTACCTATATTTATATATTTTTCTAGCATAAACCTATTTATACAACAAAATTAAACAGTAAAATGTTAAAATTAATAGGAAAGATAATGTCCATAGTTTACTAAATGTCAATATAATTTAATCAAATTAACAAAATAAAACAAGCTTATTAAATCATATTTAAATATACAAAAATTATTTTTGTAACTTCAATAGTTAAAAAGTTATTTACGT